ATCCTTGAGGATATGAGACACATGTGGGAAAGGAGAGGAGAGGCTTTCAGCTGAAATTTAATAGACTTTAGGAGCAGATGGCAACATCACTCTAGGCTGCAGATGTCAGCACTCTCAGAAGGTGCGCTGCAAGCAGGGCCCGATTTACCAGAAGGACACAGAGGCCGGGCCTCGGGGCAGCAGGAAGCAGAGGTAGCCGCCAGGCGGGTAGGTTTTTTTTCTACATTTAACCCTGCTTCAGGCAAGCAGGGCTAAATGTACAGCTGGAAGGACGGTGTTTTTAGTACAAGTGATCCCGGCGATGTCACCGAGATCACTTGTAATATGTGTGCAGCTCCCCCCACCACCGTCGCCCCTCTCCATGGTCCGCCCCACCTTACCTGGCTGCCTCTCACCGCTTCCTTCCTCCCATCCTGCCATAGATTTCAGGGTCTTCCGCTCCTCTGCGGGACCCAGGACCATAGCACGTTCAATCACGATGAAGAGTGGGGAGCAGAGCAGAGAACCACCATTCTCCGCTCTGCTTCGTATAAACAGTGAGAGGAGAGTTGCATTCGCAGTGGAGGGGGACACGTTGAGGAACCCAGCCTTTGGGCAGCAGAGAGAATAAATCCGACCCTGGCTGCAAGCAGCCCTAGAGCAGTTAGTAGAACGTAAGCCAAGGACACCCAGAACAGCGGAACTGAGATCTTCTAAAGTACACCTAAGAATGTCAGAAAATCACTACGAGTAAAAACGGTTTACTATACAGATAAAACAAATGGCTCCCAGTGATGTAAGCTACACAGATACCATGTAGCACCAAGAGTCTTTGTAGTAACATGGGAGGCTGGCTGGAAGAACCACTGACCACAGAAGGGAGACAGCAGATCAATATGCCTGGAAATGTCGGTTTTGAAGACCCTTCAACAGAGAATTTCTTTACAACAGAGCAGTGTGGACCACAGGAGAGGTAATTATTTATGTTATTATTTTTCAGATGCCGCTTTGCTTAAGCACAATTCTTATATTTATGTGATGTGGAACAGTAGATGTGATGACAAAATCTCTGTGTAACGGGGGAAGTCAGCCATTGTGGACTTGGATTTCCAAGAACCATGCCTTCAGACATTAGGTCTGCCAATGAAGGCAGCATGGCATAGCATTTACCAGGAAAGGTATTTAAGTCAAACAATATAGAAACCAGCTAACAAAGAGTTAATGCATTGGTCACATGTGGAAGTTTTCACAAACATCAACTAGCAAGGAAGGAAAAAGGTTTGGATTCTCACAGAAGCAAAACGATAGCCAGCGAGTTTTTTTTCTAATTCACACTTGGATGTATGACAGCACCACACCACAGGTAGTAGCAGGTACACCAGGGAAATGGTTGTGCTTCCTAAAAGGACTCACTTGTGCTCAATAGCATAGAAATGACACTTTCTCCCCACTGACAAAAAACTCACAAGCGGAAAATGAACAGAAACAGACAGTTCATTAGCATCAACACCTGTGGCCAGAGTACGAACAGATTCATTGTGAAGCTGTAAGATGTTTACAAGACGCCAAAGTGGCACAAACGTAATCCTTGTACAACGCATTGTTGTTTTCCCCATAAACAGCAATAAAACCCTAACTGGTGTACGGTAGGTCTAAATTTAAAGCAATCCTGTCATATCTCTGGCCAATCAAATAGTATATAATGAAAAATAAATATCAGAAGCCTTGGACATATAGACAGCTGTATTTACAGGTGAAACTCGATTAGAATATTGTGCAAAAGTTCATTTATTTCACTAATGCAACTTAAAAGGTGAAACTAATATACGATATAGACTCATTACATGCAAAGCAAGATAGTTCAAGCCGTGATTTGTCATAATTGTGATGATTATGGCTTACAGCTCATGAAAACCCCAAATCCACAATCTCAGAAAATGAGAATATTACATGCAATCAATAAAACAACCAATTGTTTTAAAGCCCTGAAGAAGGGAATTATGTCTGCACCGAAACGCATTGGCTGTTTGATCAACGCCATCAAACTTTTTTTTTTTTAAATTTACATGGTCTGCCAAAATATAAAAACTGATGAAATATAAAGTACCAATGCAGCACACAACACACAGTAATGCATTAGGATGAGTTGGGGTGCTTTATAAAAAAGAAAATCCAAATAATGACTCCACAACACACATTCAAAGGATCAAAGATCCTTACTCCTCCCCAGTAAGAGATCTCTGGAACCAGAAGGTGTGTGTACAGGCTTTGTTTCTCTGGACATCCCTATAGGGCAACCAATAGGAGTGGCGTCACCTTCCCCCAGCTGTGTTATATGGAGGAGCATAGAGAATGCCACTCAGCATTAGGTCAAGCAAGGTCACGAATAGCCCAGACACTACAAGTGAAATGCGCTCTATTTTAAAGCCCAATTGTAGTTTCTTCAAACGATACTAATGAAGTCATTTTGGATCCCCCCCAAAAAAAGTGTCATCTAGTTGTCTGTTTATTCTTTTTTTAGCAGAAAACTCCTATGGCCGGCCAGAGGCTGCAGCTAAAGACCATTGTGCTCCGTCACTGTAGTCACTCTCCCTCCCTGCTGACTGTAGCGTTGTACTGGTGACAAGGCAGGGGGGCATGTCAGCTCGCAGCTCACACAGAGCTCAGCAGTCTGTAGCTGCAGCCTCCTGCCAGGCACAGTTATCTGCTAGGGAAGCATTACAAAAAAATATATAAAATAGAAGACTTAAACAGTAAGGTAATTAACACGTCTTTACTCCAACTTGATGATTATTCGCGTTTTTAGTAACATACAAACTGTACTTTACCCTTTTATAAGTAAATGTGCTGCTTAACCCCTTAGTGACAGCTCCAGAAAAACGTTTTGTTCCTGGGGACCGGAGCAGTTTTGACATGGGTTTGTTTAACCATAAATTCCATCTTCCTCATTTATTGCAGCTACACATATTATATACTGTTTTTTAAAGGACAAAATGGGCTTTCATTTGTTGTGACCTGTGCATATACAAATTCTTATTTTTTTTTTAAATCATTTTTTCAGTGTTGCCAATAATGTGTACATAATTAGTGTAGCTAACAAAGTAATTCATAATGCATTATTTTATTTGTCCTGATTTATAGGGTATATCATATGTCTGGGGTTTCAGTTTTTTTATTTGCAGGGGCTTTGATACTTAGTATCTCTGAGGAGAACACAGTATTCTCCTCAGAGATACTTTGTATCAGTTTGTAACACACAGCGTGTTTTGCACAGGCTCCCAGGTGCACAACAGAGTGAGCTGCTGCCGGCTCTGTGGCTATCATGGCTCTGTGATCACAGCGATTACTCATCGCTGTGTTCATAGTGCTGTGACCACCTAATCTGCTGTAAAGGGTCTGCCTCGGACCCCAGCAACAGGGAGTAACTCAATGAGCGCTGGTCCCTCCATGGACCAGCACACATTGTACCATTATTATTATCCAGTCACCGGTCGTTAACTGAACGAGCGTGATAGTATAATCCTGTCATCGGTCGGAAAGGGGTTAAAGTATGAAGCTTTTTACAGTATTAGAGACCCTGTATATTTTATGCAAAAAAAAAAAAATCCATCTTTTAACCATAAATTCCATCTTCCTCATTTATTGCAGCTACACATATTATATACTGTTTTTTAAAGGACAAAATGGGCTTTCATTTGTTGTGACCTGTGCATATACAAATTCTTATTTTTTTTTTAAATCATTTTTTCAGTGTTGCCAATAATGTGTACATAATTAGTGTAGCTAACAAAGTAATTCATAATGCATTATTTTATTTGTCCTGATTTATAGGGTATATCATATGTCTGGGGTTTCAGTTTTTTTATTTGCAGGGGCTTTGATACTTAGTATCTCTGAGGAGAACACAGTATTCTCCTCAGAGATACTTTGTATCAGTTTGTAACACACAGCGTGTTTTGCACAGGCTCCCAGGTGCACAACAGAGTGAGCTGCTGCCGGCTCTGTGGCTATCATGGCTCTGTGATCACAGCGATTACTCATCGCTGTGTTCATAGTGCTGTGACCACCTAATCTGCTGTAAAGGGTCTGCCTCGGACCCCAGCAACAGGGAGTAACTCAATGAGCGCTGGTCCCTCCATGGACCAGCACACATTGTACCATTATTATTATCATCCAGTCACCGGTCGTTAACTGAACGAGCATGATAGTATAATCCTGTCATCGGTCGGAAAGGGGTTAAAGTATGAAGCTTTTTACAGTATTAGAGACCCTGTATATTTTATGCAAAAAAAAAAAATCCATCTCCTTTTCTATTGACAGAAATGTCTTTGAACGATATGCAATTGAGTGTACAACCCCAGCATGCCATGGGTACCTCCCGTTCGCAAGCACAGGAGTTGCATCATCCTGGGCTGGTCAATCATATAGTTAAAAAACAGAACCCAGAAGATGATGTAATTGATGGAGCACCAATGGAGATTGGGGGTATTGCATTCATGTAGGAGGAGCTTTAGGAGGCAAGTGTACTGTGCAAGTTTGCTGTGCACAAGAGCCCACTAACCATAATGCCGAGTACCTGAGAAGGAGTACCTGTCTTTTCATCTTCATTAAAACATATTTCACAAGCAGGAGGCACCTTTTTGTTGTTTTACAATTGACTTATCAGCTTACTGCCCTGAAACTCATACAGATCAGACATTTTTACGATCAGCACCAAGCCTCTGCAGGACAGCTAGACAAGTAGCATTTCAAAAGACCAGCAATGGCAGTCCATATTTCTCCAATACAAAGTTCCCTTGAATATCAGTCAGAGCCTATAATTCATATGGAGGTCCATTGTGTTTTATGGCTGCAGTACAAAGCTGGGTTTACTAGTAATTCTAGATCTTGTTCCCAATACACCCCAGAAAGTGACAGAAGGGACACTTGTGTGTTCCTACATAGCGGTGTCCCAAGTCCAGCACTAGCCGCAAGCTAATATAATCCAAACTTCTCAAATATTAACGATTCAAAGAACAAAATACAAACAAATCTGAGTTTTAATGAAAAGCTCTATAAAATGAAATCCAGCATGACACAATGTTTAGAGGGAATGAAGCTCAAACTAATCATGTTTCAACAAAATAACTTACTTTGGTGTCACAATTAATTAGCATTTTCATCTTATGATTAGAAGAACATTTCTAACATTGGAAAAGCCATTACACAAGAGAATCCTTTGGACTTGTCCACAACCTGTGGCAATATTATGTACACTCAATTTTAACAGCTCTAGGGTCTGACGGTGCAAGACTAATGATATACAATACAGTCAGGGTATTAGCTAAAGTAAAACGGATATATCGTAAATGTTCAGACGGAAAGGATGATGCCATGATGCGCTGATAAAATTGACCAGTTATAAAAATTACATTTTCCGTTTGAAACTTGCACCATAAAATTGGGGCGTCTTCATTTTTGTGCAAGGTGAAATAATTCCACAAATTGTTCCGTTCATAAAAATTCATAGATCCCGCAAGTTGAATCCAGCTTAAAAAAAAATCCAATTTCGGAGATTCGCTCAGTTACAAAACTCTCTCTTCCTTTAATGTCGGATTAATTTTCTTTAACAAAACTGAAAAAAGATAAATAAAGGTTAGGACATGTTTAAATTGTTAGCATTACCCCCTAGACTGACATCAAAAGACATGCGTGCAGAATAAGTCACCAGGCTCCAAGTTCCCCTATAAATTGCTATGGGGAATCTACAAGAGTGCAGAGCACAGGAATGCTGTATGGCATACCACTCAGTCAATATTCAGTAAGAACATATTAACAAATGTGCATCCATTCTTGACACGGGTATTGTGATGATGGAAGCAATCGTGGTGACCAGGACAATTAACCTGAATCTGTACAGACTGAGATCCATACAGAAAGGTAAAGGGCAGTGTGATTGGTTTATCATTCAAAGTGCATACAGGGGACAAATTAAAATTGCAATAGCCAATAGCAGGTGAGCTATTGAAGCCCCGCCCACTGAGCAGAGGAGCAGCCCCGAGAGAGAAATATAATACACATATTGTGTGCATTATATTCCCCGCAGAATATAACACACACACACATTATACAGTGGGGCAAAAAAGTATTTAGTCAGCCACCAATTGTGCAAGTTCTCCCACTTAAAACGATGAGAGAGACCTGTAATTGGCATCATAGGTAGACCTCAACTATGAGAGACAAAATGAGAAAACAAATCCAGACAAATCACATCGGCTGATTTGGAACCAATTTATTTGCAAATTATGGTGGAAAATAAGTATTTGGTCACCTACAAACAAGCAAGAGTTCTGGCTCTCACAGACCTGTACCTTCTTCTTTAAGAGGCTCCTCTGTCCTGCACTCATTACCTGTATCAATGGCACCTGTTTGAACTTGTTATCAGTATAAAAGACACCTGTCCACAACCTCAAACAGTCACACTCCAAACTCCACTATGGTGAAGACCAAAGAGCTGTCGAAGGACACCAGAAACAAAATTGTAGACCTGCACCAGGCTGGGAAGAGAGCTGTCAAAAGTCGCCGGGAGTCTGTTTAAACAGCCCCGATGCTGGCGACGTACACTGTACGTCGTCAGTCACGAAGGGGTTAAGTGACTTTGAAAATGGCATGGTTATTGGTGCCAGACGGGCTGGTTCAAGTATTTCAGCAACTGCTCATCTACCGGGGTTTTCAGGCACATCCATCTCTAGGGCTTACAGAGAATAGTCCGAAAAAGAGAAAATATCCAGTGAGCGGCAGAGGGGAACGGCCAGATTGGTTCACGCTGATAGAAAGGCAACAGTAACTCAAATAACCACTCGTTACATCAGTGTTATGCAGAAGGGCATCTCTGATCACACAAAACATTGAACCTTGAAGCAAATGGGCTACAGCCACAGAAGACCACACCAGGTGCCACTCCTGTCAGCTAAGAACAGGAAATGGAGGCTACAGTTTGCAAGGGCTCACCAAAATTGTAAAATCGGTTGGAAAAACGTTGCCTGGTCCGATGAGTCTCGATTTCTGTTGTGACATTGGGATGATTGGGTGAGAATTTGATGTAAACATGAAAGCATGGATCCTTCCTGCCTTGTATAAACGGTTCAGGCTGGTGGAGCTTCGCATCGTGGCTGTGCAGCTGACAAATCTGCCGCAACTGTATCATGCTATGATGGACCAAACGGGTCCAATCCAGTACTAGCAAGGTGTACCTAATAAAGTGGCGTATTTGTCTATAACACACACACACAAAATAAAAGCATGCCTACTGCAAGAAGATACAGCAAATAAAGCGGTATGTGCTCATTCAGATGCTGGAAAAGGGTTTGTGTAAACACAGTCTTCAGTTCACCAGCAACGTGATGACAACTTTGTGTATCCTGCTTCAAGTCACTATTTTTGTATCTCCTTTATTATGTTAAACCATTTTAAGCCTACTATAAATAGAGCACACGGAACAGCAGGGCAATTTAGATAACCTTCAATAAAGTTATATCTTACCTTCCAACGATTTCCACAATTATTACAGAATACAAATGTTGTCATAGGTTCATCAGCGCTACGGGTCTGGACCTTTAAAACATAAACAGGCAGCATTAGAAGTATGTAGACAGAAGCTTGCAATGAAACGTGACTTGTGCCGTGACTAAGGGTACATACAACGGCTTAGAGGACAGCAGGTACCTTTATGGGCTCAGGTCACATTTGTTATGATTAACAGAAAAGCTACCAATTACATAGGCACAAAGACTTCCTGCCTCCTGGGATTTGTTTACATCACACACCTTGACCAAAAACATTATCCATTTTGTAGAATCTGTTCATCAGCATTAGGGAGAGAAGAGATGACAGCAATGCCACCATCAGAGGGAAGTGATGTAATCATTCAAGCACAGGAAGTTCTCTGTAGGAAGTGGTGTGTAAGGGCCCATTCACACAATATAATTGGTTTTATCACATGATACTGTGAGATTCACACACTATCGCACAGAGCAAGCAAGGGACTACGATAAAGCCCTTTGTAATGTACTGCAATGCATGTCGGCCGGGAGTTGCATTGGGTTACCATTCAAAATGAATGGCAATGCAACGCACCTAGAGCAGGTAATGCATGCCAAGTGTGCCGTTTGATAACGATATGAATGGGACCCTAATAGCAAGATTCTATCCCTCCCTATCTTCTGCTCTTTTTTGTTACTTGTTTTATGAAAATGCAGCTCTCAACCAAATGAGAACATAAAAGACAGAACTAGGAGGGACCACATCATTCTGGGTAATGATGGTTTCTGCCACATATGCAAGCAAACAGAAAATCTGCACATAATCTATAGGTGTATGGCCAGCTTTAGTATGTCATTATGCCCCTCTATGGTCAGAGGGAAAAAGTGCAACAGATTCCTCCATCTACGCTAAACTGTGTGGATGGAGGAATCTCCCACTGGGCCAAGCTTCAGAATCTTGCTAGTCAGCCCCGATGGCTCTCAAAATACCTGGACAATCTGATTGGATGCAGACATTGTTCAGGTGTTTTGAGAGCCAGCGGGCCGACTAGCAGTATACTGAAGCTTGGCCCAGTGGGAGATTCCTCTATCCACACAGTTTAGCGTAGATGGAGGAATCTGTTGCACTTTTTCCATCTGACCATAGAAAATCTGCAGATAATCTAAAGGCGTATGGCCAGCTTGAGATGACATTTGGAAAGCCTATGAGCTGCGATCAGATGCAGCAAGAAGAGCTGAAACGAAGATCAGAAAGAATCCTACTAATATGCAATAAATGTATCATTTTTGAATGAACTTGGAGTCTGGCTCCTCATAAAACCCCAAAGATACTAAGCTATATGGTAACTGAATTATGAGAAGGGGTGAGGTCTCGGACCACCTGGAGGAATTAGCCCTGTGGAGTTATGGTTTAATGACATGTTTTTTATAAGTAAACCTGCACGCTGCTGAAGAGCGGGCACCCCACACAATGCTTACACTTCATTTTTATAGTGTTGGATGGGTCCCTGGTGAGCAGACTCACCCTCTCTATATGATGACCATTGTCAGCTAAATAGAAATGTGTTTTTTGGTGAGAAATTTCCAGCATGCTTCCCCCAACTTCCTTTTTTTTGTTAAAAAGGAATCCCCCCCCCCCAAACAGCACAGAGACCACAGAAAATGTGGTTTTACCCTCTCCTACTATCCAAAATGTGGAATAAAAACTAAGCTGGCAACTTGCAAACAAGTCTATACTACGTTCAATCATGAAAACTTCTCTTTGTACATTTAATGCCCAACTCCAGCCAAACGTTACATCAAATGTGGAAGGTTTTGTGTGACATCACTGAATTGCTCTCACTCACCCAGACAAGAAAAGATGGGTAACAGAAGGTCACCAAGACAGAAATCAAACCCCTCTAATCATCTAAACGAATCTCAAAGCCATAAAAAATGTTGGCTGAAGTTTTAATGCAAACTTTTATCAAATGTGAAAAAGCCGCAGTCTAGAACAGGGGCGGCAAGCAAACTCCAGCCCCCCAGCTGTTGTGGATCCACAAGTCCAATAAGGCGTTGCAGGATTCTCATGAGTCCCAGAGACAGATGCATCATGGGATTTGTAGTTTCCCCACAGCTGGAGGGCCGGAGTTTGCCCAGCCCTGGTCTAGAATGAAGATTATACAAACACTCGGGTCCAACAAAACAAAGCTGGAGGCAACAAGTGCCAAAATAGTTCTTGTATCGGAAAGCTTACCTGTGTGTATGTACAACTCTTCTTTTTACATTTTCCACAGGAAAACAGGTCAGTCTCTGTACCACCAGTCTTGGCCATTTGGTGCTCCCGGATGGCCTCCTTGGTCAGGTTTTTCCTCATTTCTTTAAGCTCATCACTGGCCATTTCCTGGACAAGATCAGAAGAAGCGTCAGACACCACAGAGCAATTTAATGGGCACTCCAACACAAGAACAAAACTAAGAACAAGGCAGTTCACAACCAGCGATTCATACTCCACTCTGCACAGAAGTATGGATCCAAACTGTTACCAAGGACAAACTCGGTGACCTTCCATAAACCAGACAGGATAAGTGGTGCTAGTTTACAGTGAACCAATTCCTATTCCAACTTTTCAGCTTCCCATGTCACCTGCCTGCTCACTGAATCAGTGGTGTCATAGCGCAGATTCATCAATGAGCAGGAAGGTGACACCAGAAGCTGGAAATTTGCTGTGCACTGTGCCATAGCTTAAATCATCAGACCAACTGAACAGAGTTAGGCATCCTTTGGCAGATAAAATGGTCTACCTAAAATGTATCTCAACTGGGAATTCAGCTATTTGCCAGGATTCCTTCACCAGTCTCTAATGAACCTAACCTTTTAGTTGTATGCTATATTATACAATCCATTCACAGGTCGTCAAATGATCTTGGAACACAGTTTCCTACATGAATATCCGCCAATTTTTAGGGTATAGGACACGTTTTGATGCACTACATTTCACTCTTGTGAACACGAGGGCTGCCATATATAACTGATGTTACAACACTACATACATGATGTATTTTGGAGGGTGCTCTCTGTGACACCCATGTAAAAAGACATGCATGTAGAGGATGACTAATATGAAATCCTGCTGACCAGAGGAAAGAACTGTGTACCCTGCAGTCTCCACTTTCTGCATCTCCCAATTCCTCTTTTCAGGGACAGTGGGGACACAAAGAGCAGAAAGGATAAAGACTTAAACAAGGACAGGAACCACACCAGCCCCACAGATATAAAGAAGGTAATCATCTTTAATTGTCTGTTTCTGCAAATTATCGTTGCTTTTCAAATCAAGCGCGCACGATGCAGCAGCTAACACAATCATGTTTATATTTGTATATTCAAGGCTTAATTGGACATACATAAAAATACAAATACAATGCACACCTTAAAGCTTTTGCCAATTTTTATACCTTCCGTGATTCTAACACTTGCTACTATTCCCCACTGAGCACAAGATGACAGACAGCCCAGAGGAGTACCATGTTCCATGTGCTACAACTACTAAGGGACCTTTGTGACATCTTTCTACCGACACTTAGAAAGCCCCAAATGATAACAAGCGTATTGCAGCGGCCTGTTCGTGCAAGGTATTTACTCTATGACCCTATGCATATGCACTCACCTCTGCAGACATCTTGGCAAACACATTTGGAGAAATGTTGCCACAAAGAACGTTTCGCCTCAAGTTGGGGTTTTTTGCATCCTTTAGGTTGGCAATTCTGCTCCGAACTCTGTTCTTGTACTTTGGATCTGTGTTTTTAAACTCTTGAAACACAGGTTCAGCGGAGTCAAGGGAAAAGAATTCTAAAAATGGACCTTTATTTATATTAAAAAGTGACATTAAACTCAGGAGTTAAATTAAAAATGCATTCAAGTACCCCAACTATTAACTAAAATGTATCTTCTTTGTGTATTATTCAGCTGTAGATCCTCAAAGACCGTGGGAAACAAAAGTAGCCACACTCCAGAAGGAATAAGAGTGTCAGCACCAATTAGAGATGATTAGGGTTTAGAGCTGAATGAGGCACAAATAAGATACATTTTTCTTAATATCTAAAAAGGTACTTGAATGCATTTTTAAGATGTGTCAGAACTATTGAGAATGGAACTCCCGAGTTTATTGCAACTTTAAAGAGTCTACATAATTATATTCATAACATGTCACAATATACAGCAACAATAAAAACAAATAGCTGCACCCTTTATCATTAAAAAGAAGTCCCTTGGGTCCAGTCAGTGACTTTACCTATGCTTAGAAAATGTATAACTGTCTTCTATAGAAAGAAAGGAAACAATTCCTCAGTCTCCTCTTCCCCAGTGATCAGACTGCCACAGTAAAACTTTATGTCAAGTGACAAGGTAAAAAGCTGAAGCATCTGTGTCAGACATTTGTGAACAATGCCACTATCCCACCCCAACTTAACCACTGAACCATCACATTCTCAAACAATTCATCCCCACACAGCTACCTCCTCATGTATCACTTGCCCCTCCCTCTTAGATTGTAAGCCCTCAGGGGCAGGGCCCTCCTTACAATCTTGTCTTGAATTGTATTGTGATTGTAATGTCTTCCTTATATTGTAATGCGCGTCGCAAACTGTTGGCGCTTTATAAATCCTGTATAATAATAAATAATAACACAAACAGCATATACACCAGGATTTACAATGTGTCATCTCAGTCAAAATCTGTCCATAAAATGGATGACCCTGGATGATGCCTGAACAAAGATGGTGCCATCCTTCAGGAATGAAAAGCAGATGAAGGCAATGTCAGGTGGGGACACTGAACTCTGAGAGGTGATTAATAACTGTAATTGTTACATGAAGACATCACTTTGCATGCATGCTGCGAACAAGAAAACATATCTATTGTTTTCAAAAATATAATAAAATGCAGCACTGTAACACTTACAGGTATTTAATACCTCTCAGAGACTGATCGCAGTCCGCACTCTGACAACGCCTTCATCTGCTTGTCTCTCCAGAAGGACAGAGAGGCATTGCAAGATTTTCACAGCCACAGGCATGACTCCGAAAGACCAGTTTATCATGGGATTTGTAGTTTCACCACAGCTGGAGGGCTGGAGTTTGCCCACTCCTGCTCAAACAGATACAACAACATATAAAATCTATACTAATATAAATATATTATAATATACATATATATACACACACACACACGGCTCGAAAAATCCACTCGTCCACGACGAGCAGACAGTGGAGCCCGACGAGCAGCTTCCCAGCCGGCCGTTGTAATTATACCCTCTCTCTCCCTGTATACCCTCCCTCTCTCTCCCTGTATACCCTCTCTCTCTCTCCCTGTATACTCTCTCTCCCCCTCTGTGTATACCCTCTCTCCCTCTGTGTATACCCTCTCTCTCCCTCTGTGTATACCCTCTCTCTCTCCCCCTCTGTGCATTCTCTCTCTCTCTCCCCCCCT